GCAGGCTGGGCTGAGAGATTCCCCAAGTGCATGTATTTGTGCACCGGGCTTCTAGTATATATATGCCCTTTTTTCATGGGACAACATTTCTTTTAGACTTGGTTCTCAAAAGTTTCTTCTAATTACTCAGGAAGTTAGCTGTTTATTCACTAGCTGATTTTCTAAGGAATTTTATAAGGTCATCCAAACTTGAGAATGATACTTTATAAGAGAAAGTAACATCCAGGGGAAAGAGTTGCCTAATTAAAAATTTGTGTATTAACAGTAGAATAATGTGTCCTGTCTTGAGTTTATTTCCTCTCTTTACCTCATCATTTTCAGTTGCTTCTGTGATAATTAGGTTTATTTTTTTTTTCTTTTGTATCTACTGTCAGAATTACAAGTAAAGGAATTAAAAAGTTAAGTCTTAAATCTTGGGAAATTCATATTATAATACAAAAAAATCTATTAAGTATAAATTAATTGCTTATAAGGATTTAAAGAATAATCTTAACAATAATTATTAAACACATACATACACACAGTTTATAGGTATAAATATATATGTTTTAAATATATATTTATAAATATATAAATGTATTCATAATTTATAAATATATGTATAATTTAATGTTTATAGCCAACCTCCCCCAACCAGCAAACCTCCTGCAGTCCCTCTCCCCATCCGACAGGCCCCATCCAGCAGCCAACAGGCCCTAGCCAGCTCAGCCCAGATTGGGACTGGGTGAATTAGCCCCAATAGGCCCTGATCACCAGCCAGGCCTAGGATCCCACTATGCATAAATATTGTGCACTGGGCCTCTAGTTTTATATATTTTTTCTTAGTAAAAGGATATTAAGGTGTAAGAAGAAACCCAATATAATCAACCTAGTCCGTATTATCTGGAAAGTGCTATAAGTATTAAATAAAAATGTTTAAAGTCACCGATAAAATAAATATATCATTAGTCACTAAGTAAAAACATTACTTGTAAAAAGATAGGGAAAGAAAAAATAAACATCTGCTGCACCTAATATGTGCCCAATGTTGTGTTAAATATGTGATTTGTATGTATCCTTACCAAGTGGCAAGTATCACAATCATTATTTTAATGAAGAGGTAATAATCTCAGACCAACTGAGTCATTTCCCAAGACTGGCTAACACATGTCAGCACCGAAATGTAGACACAATCTATTTCCCAAGACTATATTAACTTCACTCTACTTTATTGGAGCACTGAATGTGAGTGTTAGAATTACATAAAACAAACGTCTAACACTAAGATTCTAGGAGAAAAAGTTATATTGGTTGTATTAGAAATAAACATCAAAATGCAATCTCTGATAGGGTGTTTGTAATGGCTGAGTTTGAGTCTAGTGATTATATCCAAGGAGAAAGGAAGAGGGGGAAAAGGTACTTGGGTAAATCATAGTGAAAAATAGTATCTTATGAAAAAAGTCCCAGGATAGCAAACTATTGATACTATTTCAACCATTTTCCATGATTTTAAAAGTCTATGTAATGTAGTATATTTTGGGAGACCTGGGACAAATTTAGGTTGTGTTCCTTGAAGCTACTGTGTGGAATGAAGTCACTATTGCTGGACCTCCTAAAAACCCAGCACCTATATCTAACCTTCATCTTTGCTCTCTGTTGCTTTCATGGTAACTCCCATCATGTCTTAAGGAGATCTCTTAAAATAATATAATTTCATCTTCATGTGTTTTATTGGAAGACATATAGGAAAGTCATTGAAAGCAATTTGATAATCAGTTCCCCTGAATTTAAATCCCATCTCCAGTACTTAAAAGCTGTTAACTTGATAAAATATAAATTTAAAATCTTTGTTCCTCAGTTTCCTCATCTATGTTATGAGGATAATAATAATTCAAAAATCATAGGGTCGTGATAATGATAAAATTAGTTTGTGTAGAAAATGCTGCCTAGCACATAGCAAATGCTAAATGTGCTACCTATTAGGTAACAAAATATATGCTGTCATCGTTTTCATCTATTAACTTTTCACAATGCCTTTGGATTCATATATAAATGTCAAAGGAAAAGACAAAGGGAATATTCTGGTTTTGAAATGGGGGATAACATGTTATCAAAGATTTAGGGACTACAAAAGATGTAATTAACCTTTTTGTTTTATTTTTAATTAGTAGCAGAAAATACCAATTATCTCAAAATTATTCTCAGGGCCTAAAAGACAAAGCCAGTCCATGAAACTATTTGATATTTTTTTATTATTAAAGCAATTTTCTAGTTGGTTGAGTTGTTACTGAGCAGCTGTATCATCTTGTTATTACTTAATGCTAATTAAGAGAAAGGGGTGGGTGCCAGAAATGGGGTGAGGACAGGGAAAGAAATAAGAAGATTGGGGTAGTGTCAAACACAACTCAAAGGTTTATGTTGCACAAATAGTGTTTCAACCGCTTTCACTGGCATTAATAAAAAACTTTGATGGCATCAACATCACTGGGTGATTGCAGCCCTTCCCATTATACCGTCTAACATATAATTTAAGGATGAATTGGCCACCTCTAGTCCAGAGCTTCATCTGCCCTCCTTCTGGGGGAAATATATTATTAAGGATTTCTGGCCTCTGGTTCCTTTAAAATATTTCCAAAGACTATCCCCTCCTCTTCTGGGTGTCTTTCTCTGTAGGATCCAGGCTCAGTGATTTAAGACACAATTTGCTGACAGGAGATCCTGCGAACCCATTATGAAAATGAAGGCAGCAAACAACCTTTGAACGTATTTCCCAATTTAAAAAGCCTTCATTACATAGCACATTTCAGGCTGAGAATGTTAAAAAATTTATCACAGTTTCAGTAATTGCAGCTTCCTCTGGAAGCCTGGCAAGATATGGAATCATTTGTAAAATGTGAATTCTGTGTGGCATGCAGCAGGAAGCTTGCCAGGCAATACATTTAATTAGGAACACGGTGGAGGGAATAATTGCAGTCTGTCATAATGTATTATCGTTACTTTTTAAGTTCTCCATGTGTTTAGGACAGTGGTCTCATAACAAGGTGTGTATTTAAATTTAGAGGTAATTTCCCTCTCATTGGGCCAGCAATTTTATAGGGGGAGATATATTATTTTGAGTGGGAAGGTACATTAGCCACATTCCTTAGATATAGCTCTCTGATCATTGTTTATACTTAGAGTGTTAGCTGCTCTCCTTAGAAACAGCCTCTGTCCGTTATTTAAGGCCCCGGAAGCTGAGGCATTGCCTTTTCGGGAGCTTAGACAGCTTTATTTAAGTTTAACTTTCTCCAGAGAGGCACAGAAATAATGAAATGCAATGCCTTTCTTGAGCATAACCATGTACATAACATCTAACCCAGCCTGAGACATAAATTTGATAAGAACAACTCAAATACTGTATTGATTAATGTGGATATTTTTAAAAATTACAAAGCATCACGTGTCAGCAGATTTTTTAAGAAGTATGATGATGGCCATCTTCGGAGGCCAGCTTTCCACTGCGTTAGACGTGACGTTCCATTTTACAGGGAAACTTGCTTATATTGAGTCTGAGAGGCACCACAGAAACAGTGTGATGAAAGGGCCTACTTGGCACATGCGCTTTGGCATTCAATTTCCAGGTAGAGAATACTCAGATCACTTATCTTTGCATGAATCCCCTCCAAAGGTCCTGGTCTCCTTAGTGAATTTCCTCTAATAACAAGTCATTAGATTTAACCTTAGGGCATCTACACTCAGGATGAGTCCAAGGTGTAAATAAGACATGAACAAAGACTGTTTCATTTTCTTTTTATTCTCAGAATCTTTCTTTTCTCACTCTGACCCATTTACTCTTCCTTCCCATCTCTTCACTCTCCCTTCACCCATCAGAGCATAAAAAAAATTACATTATACTACACAGATGATGTATTATAAAATTATACATTGAAACCTATATAAATTATTAACCATTGTCACCCCCCAAAATTCAATAAAAATTGTAAAAGCAATTATGATAGTGAGCATTTCCTTCAGGGTCCCATTCTCTAGAAAACAAGGAATAGAACCCAAACAATTAGAACAGCCAGTATCTGACACTCAGTAGAGGATTAGGAATTGGACATAAGGAAGTAAGGAGAGAAGACTGGTTTTAGGTAGATAGTTACATTCCAGTAATCATTTATTTCTGAGGAAAGAGAAATCAGAAAAATATCTCTTTATCTCATCCCTCTACAAAAATGTAAGCAGTGTACTTCTTTCTTCTTAAGTACCTTGTAAAATCCCTAAATGAACACAACTTTTATTCAGTGGCATTAGAAATCAATATTTTAAAGTTAACCACTGCAACAACTTGTACTATTAAATAATTACTTTATTTGAAGCAATGTTCTGAACACTTTGTAGAAGTAAAAGCATGATTCTATATAGTAGATGCTTCTTTTACCACCAAGGAAACTGAGGCACCAAGTGGATATTTATCTTGATTTCCTTAAACAAATTGTAAGAAGTGATCTGATTTTGGTAAACAATACAAGATATTATGACTCCAGGTTCATACTCAATGATGATATTACTATGAATTAATTATGGAGGAGAAATAATATGATTAAGATCAAAATGCAATTAACCAAAATACGGTAAAAAAAAAAAAAAAGAACTAAAAAGGGCAAGACTAAAAGCCTTTGCTGATCAAAATTGCTCTTGGACATACATCAAATTTTAAATCTCACATTTCCTCCTTGAATTAGAAAAATGTGTTTGCCTTGAGGTATCCACATTTTCCAATAGTATTTCTAGGCTGAGGTTTATTATAAGAAATAGCTGGGGATAAAGATTGAATGTAATCCATCTCCTTGGTAGTATTTCTTGCATTTTAACATTTTTCTTATTTAATACTGAAGTCTAATTGAGACCTGCCTAAAACTGAAATATATAAAACTAATAGCCAGTACTTTGGGGTGCAAATCTGTGTCTGCTTGTGGATGCGTGTATGTATATATTAGCATGTACCACTTCAAATAACATGTATTCTTTACTTTAAGGGGCAAAGGACCACTAAAGCACACGACTGATGTGATCTATGCAGCTAAAATGATATCAGAATCGGGATCAAGGATGGATGTCCTCGCTCGACAGATCGCTAACCAGGTGAATTTTCTACAAATGCATGTGGTGAACATCTATGTTAATTGTTTTCTGCCATTTCAGTGTTAATTTTTAAAAGTTGAAATTTTACTCTATTGAATTATTTTTTATTATTGAGTTATTTTTAAATGTTCAGTAATTAATACACAAGTAGTGGACAATTCATTCTAAGGAATCTTAGGGCATTATTATTATTACCTTGGAACTTGATTATTTCTAAGATTTTGAGTTTCATACATTCAAATTATTTTAAATATCAGCTTTTTGATTTTCAAATATATTCCATTGGCTTTAATATCCATCCAATGTTAATATTTTTCCTCAATACCTTATATTTCTTCTTTTTGCTCTTCAAAAGTAATACTTTTGAAAATTCTATTTTGTTACATTTTCTGAGTCAACAATATATTCTTGCATCCTATATAAAATTGTAAGGTACGTAGTAATTTTTAGAGTTCTAAAGTGAAGATTTAAAATGTAGGGGTATATAATGCTTATAGAGACTGATGTTTTATATACTTGGCATTTTTCTTTACATTTCTCTCATCTATATTTCAGTTTTCTAAGCAACATCTATATTATTAGAGTTACCGGTACCTTTTGTCTAACATGAAAGGAAAGTCAGTTTTTAGTTGTGGTATAGGCATATTTAATTGATATTTCAAATGGAGATGTAGTATTACTTTGAAGGTTTGATATTATTCAACTTGATAATGCATATTTATCTCCCTTTGGGGGAAAGCGACACTATTCTTTTGACTTTGTAACTATTCCATATTATTTATAACTTACATACTTTTATTATTATTTACTCTTTATCCTCTATTTTTTAAAACGTGAACTTTCTCTTATTAGATGTTGTATTTGTGGATATAAGGAGGAGAAATAAATAAGAAATAACAAATAGTTTTAAGCATTCTTTTTTTTTTCTTTACTGATTAAGGTATTATATCTGTGTCCTTATCCCCCCAGGATCCCCTCTCCTCCCCTGCGCATGCCCTCAGCCCCCTTGGTTATGCTTATATGCATGCATACAAGTCCTTTGGTTGATCTCTTACCCTTACCCCCACCCTCACCTACCTTCTCTCAGAGGTTTGAGCTTCTTGAGTGTGTGTATATATGCGCACACATGTATTCACTGTCTAGCTACTCTAAGCATTATAAAGATTTTAGTAATTTTAAAGTATTTAGTATTTATAGTTAAAAACAAACTCTATGCTAATATGTGACCAAATGAGTGAAGCCAAAATGTGCCATGGTTTTCTATATTATGTCCAATCCAAGTTGAAACTGAAAATGAATTGAAAAAAATTCTTTAACTCGAGATAATTTTAGTCTGTGCATTAAAAAATGTCAGACCGTAGTTTTCCAAATATAACTCTCACAAGTCAGCATAGTCAGTGTAGACCATATGACTTTGTTGTCCTTTATCTCTGACATAATAAAAGAGATCCACTGTATTTTTTTTTCTTCACCCGAGGATATGATTTTATTGATCTTAGGGACAAAGGGAGAGAGAGAGAGAAACATTGATTGTGGGAACTAAACCTACAACCTTGTATATGCCCAGACCTGGAATCAGTCTCCTGGTACATGGGATGATGCTGCCACCAACTGAGCCACCCAGCCAGAGCAGGTCCCACTGTACATTTCATCTATCCCTTCCATAGATACCCTTTCCTTCTGTGTTTTAGAAACCTCGGTCTGCTAAAGTGCGGCAAAGACAGACATGGCAAAGAAGGAAATGTTCCAAGTACACTGAGATTTCTACATATGAAATCATCTCAAATTGATGACTAACCAAATTTAACAGATGATAGAGAAGGAAGAGTCACTCTTTATAGAGATAGTAAATTGAATGGAAAAAATGGTTTTATAGTAGGCAAGATGGATTATGAGTTAGTTGAGGGTTCTATGTGTTGGGTGTGAACTCTTGGTAAGACAATAATGAATAAATGCAATAGGTATATGGTTCTTCTGAAGACAGACCTGGAGGATAGATAATTACTTTTTAATTTTTTAATTTTTGTAAGTGATAGATGAAGCCAGGACAGAGTATACTATTATCCAGGAAGAGGGAAAGAGGGAAATGATGCCCCACAACAGAAACTGAGAACACCAGAAGGGCATGTTCCCAAATAACAAGAGAAGGAGATGGGGTTACAGGGTTGGAGAAGGGTTGTTGTGTTGAGGGATTTTACATTGACAGATTCGAGGATGAAAACATTAAAAGTGCAGAAGTAAATGGGACAATTGATGCCAGGGGACCCCGAGGAAGGTGAAATCAGACAGCCTCTGGGCTGGAGCACAGACAGAGAAATGAGTCCATCCTGGGTAGGGGAAGGTTCTTGACACACTGTTCACAATGACAGTTCACAATGACACCTCATTCTTTTCATTAGCAAACTCTGCCAGTTTAGCAGAAATTAAACTGTTGTCTGTAATTGCAAAAGTCACTTTAAGTGTTTTTAAAATACAGTTTATATTCTAGTGTGGGCAAAAAATAGCTGAGCTTTTGAATAAAGGTCTTTAGAGTATTCATTTTTCTAAGTCACCCTTAAAATTCAAACTGAAAGGTAATAAATGTTTTTGTTTTTGTTTTTTTTTACTTTTCTTCTCATCCCTAAATGAAGTATTCTGCATTGGGACCAAGCATCTTCCCAGAATAGTGAAAGCTGGTTTAGCATGAGAAAACCGCTTAGGCTGGCATGCCATCTGCTTGCCTGTAGTGAGAGTCCCAGAAGTTACAAAACATAAATTTAGAAGAAAATATATCCATGCATTAAAAAGCTAACCAGATGTCCTGGTCAGCATCTCCTACTTTAATAAACTGGGAAATACCCAAACTGTTATGATAGTCTATGACTTGATTTGTCTAGAAATCCCAAGCAGAGTTCCTTTAAAAGTTATTTTATGCAAATTTAATTTTTTTAAAAGTTAAGGGCAAGAATGTTTTACAAGTATAAGGCTCAAACTTTTTTTTTTATCACCTTCATGCAAAAATATAAAATGAGGGGAAAGCTTATTTGACTTTAATAAAGGTTTGGCAAATAGGAACATTTAATTTTTAAAATTTTTTAAATTATAGTTGACATACAATAGTATATTAGTTCTCAGTGTACAACATAATAATTACACACTTACTATATAACTTATATGAGGAGATCACCCTCATAAGCTTATTACCCATCTGATATCATACATAGTTATTACAGTATTTTTAAAATTATATGTTTTATTGCTTTTTTACAGAGAGGAAGGGAGAGGGATAGAAAGTTAGAAACATTGATGAGAGAGAAACATCAATCAACTGCCTCCTGCACACCCTCTAAAGATACATGCATGCCCTTGACCGGAATCAAACTTGGGACCCTTCAATCTGCTGGCAGATACTCTATCCACTGAGCCAAACCGGTTAGGGCAAGTTATTACAATATTATTGACTATATTCCCTGTGCTGTTTACATCAACATGACTGGAAATTTACACATTTATCCCTTCCCCTTTTTCATCCATGCCCCCAACTCCCCTCCCTCCTGACAACCATCTGTTTGTTCTCCATATCTATGAGTTTTAGTTTGGTTCATTCTTTTCTTTTTTTAGATTTCACATATAAGTACAATCATATGGTATTTGTCTTTGCCTGACTTATTTCACTTAGCATCATACTCTCTAGGTTGATCAATATTGTTGCACATGGCAAGGTTTTGTTCTTTTTTTATGGCTGAGTAATACCCCAATTGTGTACATACCATCTCTTTTTTATCCATTAGAGGAGCATTCTTTGAGTGCAATGATTCTTTCTTCTGATTCTGCTTGGAGGTGGTCAACACCAATCAGAAAAGCTTTCCAAATGTCAAAAGGAATGAATTTTGATGTATAGAATTGATGAATTAGTATGCTTTTAGTGCTTCAGTTATAAATCTGACTAGCATTGTTAGGTGTAAGCAAGAATTTCATCAATTCTGAAAGTAAAGGGTAAAGCTAGCTCAGGCAACTTTTAATTTAAAAAGTTCGACTTCACATTTTCTGCTCATTTGAATCTTTCTTAACAGAATTCTAAACTCTTTGAGAAGGGCTTTGAAAGAATCCCTTGAGAGAGATTATATGTTTTCTTGGTGGTGGCAAAATTGATAATTGGTTAAGGGCCTAATTATTAATTTGCAAGCTTAATTTTATCAGCTATGATATAGTGGTGCTGGCCTTTAAGAAAAAAAAAAATCCTACAGATAAGAGTGTCCATTTAAGAAACCACTTTACAAATCAGGGTTGCAATTTTCTGTTTACTATCATATATAATAAAAGTGTAATATGCAAATCAACCGAACAGAGGAATGACTGGTCGGCGGGGCCAGCTGCTCACAGTTGGTTCACTCCCCTGATGAGCCCACCTGCTCACCTCCCACAGGGGAGGACTTCTGGACTACAAGAGGGTGCAGTCCAGGCTGAGGGACTCCCCCACCCCTCCAGTGCATGAATTTTCATGCACCAGGCCTCTAGTATAAGATAAAACTGGTAAGAAGACTAATACCGGTCCTAGATTATAGAGGTAGGTAAGTATAGTCAGATGATGTCAGTTTGAGTACCAGCTCTACCTTTTATTAAGTGGGCAATTACTCTCTCGGTGCCTCAGTTTCCTTCTTTGCTAAGTGGGGATAATGAGAGACCCTACCATATGTAGTTGTGTGATTATTGAAAATAGTATAAGCAAAGTACCTAGAACAGCATCTATGCCATGTCAATCTAGCAGATTGATAGCATTTATACAGAAGAGTTTATTTCTTTGCTACATTTGTTGATTAACTTTCATTCAAGGTTTCCATGTTTTCATCTTGTCCACACATTCTGGAGCTGTGTAGAGTAGTCTATTCAGCAAATATAAAAGGGATTCTCAGGTATTTTCCAGCAGCACTCCAGCTTATTGACAATTAGGTAAAAGCAGAAATGCCAGGAAGGCTTTCTGATCTTTCTTATCTGATAGTTTACTAGAGGTCCATTGCATGAAATTCATGCATGGGTAGGGTCCCTAGGCCTGGTCAACAATCAGAGCCAATCTGTGGGGTGACTGGCGGGATAATTGGGAGCCCCCACTGGCACCTGCCTTGGTTAGCCTGGGACCTGCAGGCTGGGGATAGCTCCTTCATTGATCATCTGCCCTGGTGGTCAGCACACATCATAGCAACTGGTCATTCCACCAGTTGTTCCGCTCTTCAATTTGCATAGTAGGCTATTATTATATAGAATTTTGCATTTTAGTTTATCAGGAGTGTATACTTTAAACACAATGCAACCATTTCATTTTATACCTTTTAATTAAACAGTATATTATATTTTAAATACTTTTTTTTCCACCTTCCAAAAACATTTTCCACATCCTTTGAAAATATTATTTTCTTATGGACTATGTAATATCACAGTATATGAAGAGCATTCTCCTTTAATCTTTCCACTCCTTTAGGACATTTAAGTTATTTTCAAATGTTGCTATTATAAGTAATGCTGCGATGAATATCTTTTACATAAAATTGCTCTCCATATTTCAGCATCCTTATGAGAATGCATTTGAATTAGAATTAAGTTAATGGGAATTTTAAAAATCTATTTTAATTACATAGAAGAAAGAACACAAAGATTAAACACGGACCATAGATATTTGTGTTATGACGAAGCTCAAAGCTGTACTCCAGATAGTTCCTTACAGAAAATAATATAACATAGGAGATGTTTAGTAAAGAAGTTTAGCACATCTGTAAAACATAAATGCATGCCTTCTGTTTTTTAGCTCCAGGTAGATCCACAGCTATTATCTAAGGTGGAATGATTTATTTTGCTTGTAATAGTTAAGAGCATTAAGTTCTGAAATTTAAGAGAACATAATATATAGATTATTGCAGATTATTTTTTATGCCCATGTAAATAACAAAGCACAGACATTGCAGAATTATCAGTTCAGAAAAGTGTTCAATTGCAATTCTAGTTTAAAAGAATAATTGCATTTATCTTGGGTTTACCTAAAAATATAATCTGAACACTTTTAACTTTATCATAAATTAAATGCATTATTTTATGTACCTCTTCAATGTTTAGAAATTTATTTAATATTTATTTTGTCTATGCTGAAGTAATTAAAGTCAAAACATGAATAAACTTCTCTAATGGAGGAAGCATTGCCTTGGTCTGAGAACTGGAGCTCAATGAAAATAAAATTGCTTGCCGGGACCAGTTTGGCTCAATGGATAGAGCGTCAGCTTGGGGACTGAAGGGTCCCTGGTTCGATTCCGGTCAGGGGCATGTACCTTGGTTGCGGGCATATCCCCAGTGGGGGGTGTGCAGGAGGCAGCTGATTGATGACTCTCTCTCATCGATGTTTCTAACTCTCTATCTCTCTCCCTTCCTCTCTGTACAAAAATCAATAAAAATATATTTAAAATAAATAAATAATAAATAAAAATAAAATTGCTTATAAGTCACCTGAAATGTCAATATTTACTCACTTTGACCTAGTTATTTCTAATTTTGCTATTTCCATTTTTATCTTTTATGCATATGCAGTGTCCAGATCTGTCATGCAAACAGGACTTGCTGGCTTACCTAGAGCAGATTAAATTCTACTCTCACCAACTGAAAATCTGCAGCCAAGTTAAAGCTGAGATCCAGAGCCTGGGGGGAGAGCTCATCATGTCAGCTGTGAGTACTACCCAGAACTCATATCACATTGTAGAAGATGCTTAAAGTCTCCTTATTCCACCAAATCTTACATGTCCATGCAGGTTAACAATTCAATTGGAATGTAAAAAGTTGCATGTAAACTTGTGAGAAATCTGGCTAGATTTCTTAAAGATATGCCACAGAGGTACAACTTGTTTTTATTTGCTTCAGAGATACTAGAATGAATCGAGTTTTGTAAGAAACCTGGGTGAGAAATAATACTTAGGGCATGATTTTCAGACTTCCAAAAGAGTACAGAAGGAACTCTGAATTGAACCCTATAATTTTCATAAAATAAAATTCATATGGCATTGCAAATTAAAATAATTTATGACTAATTTATATTTATTTCCCCACAGTAACATAGAAATTCAGGTTTTGAAATATCTTATTTCCATATATAATTTTAGAAGTGGAATATGATAGAACACGATAGATTTAGATGAATTTTCATGAAATTTTGGTGACCCTGAGTTTCAGCCTGCTATAAAATGGCCATGGGAGAAATAACATCTAACTTTTATACTCATTTCTAATAACAGTATATCACTTATTTAGAGTGGGTATAGCAATAAAATAGTTTATATCCGTATTGGATTCAGTTATCAGTGACTTTGAGAAGGACATGGACCAAGATCATAAATTTAAGGTAAGTGAAACATCATGAATGTTAGGGGAACTTGCATTCATGAAGACAAATTTGTTAAAAATGGTAACAGGATACTTATAAATTGGAAATGGTGAGGACCTCAATAGCCTGACTTTGGACTCTCCCACAATGAGATAACATTCTTAAAATACAAGCAAAGAATCACCATCAAGACTAGAGGGCAGGGAAGTAAGCCTTATAGACTGTTCCTTGCCTGTCTTTTATCCCCTTTTATCTTCACAATAGCGTGCCACCTAGATTGCTTATTGTCTTGTTTACTTTAATACTTGAAAAAAATGAAATTACAAAGGTTAAATAGCTTCTCAGCAGTCGTACTAGGAAATGTCAGAGCTGGGGTTTACCTTAAAAGATCTATGCCTTCTCTATTCAAATGGGCAACTTCGAATCTATGATGAAAGTGAGGAGCAAAAATCAAAAGTAAATAATTTGGAAATTATGTGTAGTTATTAAGGTAAATAAATAGGTGTGTGTGTTTTTGACATTAATGTTTTGCGAAAGAATTTATAAATCAACACAATTTATACAAGATTGATTTTCTTTCAGTTTTCAAAGGAAAGTATATTTTAAATTGTCACAATCTATACACACAGAAAACATGTGTAAATGCACATGTATATTTACATATATGCATTTAAAAGTACTGTATCTTTATTCTGTACTAGACATTTAGTCTTCATTTTTTCAACATTATAATACTTTAGGTGTGTAAAAAATATTTACACCAAAGTCTGCTGTTTACTTTTCTGATTTTCACACACTCACCATCATTCACATGGCATAGTCCATGTAAATTTTATAATTTAATTATATGCTAACTTTTCATGTCTGAAGCTTTGCTTTCAAAAAACTTGATAGAAGTGTAGCCTATAGATTACTGCTGAAATGTATTACTATTAATTGTCCCTCCAAAATATAATTTCCATCAGGTATATGAATTGAGTTTGCATTCCTTCCTGTTTGATATGATGAGTGAAATTCGTGAACTTTACAGAAAGATTAGGCATGAGCCATTTAGAATTCATGATTTACAATTTAAAAGCTGAGTTGTTATATAAAATGAGAAATAGCATTGCAAATTCAAAACTATTTGTCATCATTTTGCCCATAATTTCCCATTAGAAAAAAAAATAAATCTCAAAATAGGAGCATGCCCCCTCTTATATGCTTTACTGCCATCTGCTTGCAGGTCGATCCTGGAGAGCTTTGAAAATACATTTCATCCATGTGTGCCAAAGCACACTTCTTTCATCTCTCCATGACCCTGTGTTCTAGTCTTGTATTTTTCCTTTTCATTTTTTTTTAATTGAGAAGGTCTTATCTAATTCACCATTTTTTCCCCCCATAAAGTCTTCTGAAAAATAACAAGCATGTTTTTAATGCAAGGAAACATTAAATATTAGAGAAAATTGTATTATACTCAAAACTATAGATGGCCAAAACCGGTTTGGCTCAGTGGATAGAGCGTGAGATTGCAGACTGAAGGGTCCCGGTTCGATTCCAGTCAAGGGCATGTACCTTAGTTGTGGGCACATCCCCAATAGGGGATGTGCAGGAGGCAGCTGATTGATGTTTCTCTCACATCGATGTTTCTAACTCTCTATCCCTCTTCCTTCCTCTCTGTAAAAAATCTATAAAATATATTTTTTAAAAATTGTAGGTGATTCAAAGATCACCAAATAAAGTTTGCATTCCAGAATCAGGTTCATGAAATACTATTTTTAGAAAATATATTTGGTTAAGTAGAAGTAAGTGGAATGCATTTCTAGAGTTAAGGAGTAGACTGATTTCTGGGTATTAAGATATAGGGTAAAGAAAATGAATTTATATCAGCAAGGAATTTTAAAACTAATCTCATAATAGAAAATGTCATTAAAATTATTTTTCTATTTTTTTTTAATATCTGCAAGCACTTATCCTGAAATTACATGTCTTAATTACTAGGAAACCAAAGTGTGATTAGTCCAAAGCCCCAGTGCCATAGAACATCTGGGGAATGAAAAGATGAATAGATGGTACTTCCTTCAAAATTCTTAAAGATTCACATATAATACACTCAAATATACAAAAATTACTCAAAACAAGAAACTATATAACAGTAGTATACCCCAAAGCACATAGTAAGGCACGAGGAAATAGTTCCATTGATTTGGCAAGTGGGCAACAGAATGCCCCAAAAGAGGCTTGACTAATTAAATTGTACCTTGATTAAAAAAGTAAAAAACAAAAATCTGTATTTATGGGGGGGAAAGAGGAAAAGAGTCCAAGGTACATTGGACAATTGAAATAAAAGGAAATAAGGAATTTTATAGAAACACCAAAAGGTCTGATGTGACTGGAAACAATGAACTATTCCTGGCACTGTAGGTATGGGTTTGGAGAGGGTGGGGAATAGAAGAGAACCTGAAAACAAAACTGGAGCTGTTTCAAAAGAACCATTTATCTGACACTGCAGACACAATTGAGAGTAATTGAAAAAGTTTAAGTTTGAGATGGACATAGCAGATCCCTCTGTTTAGAAATTAACTGTTTTTTAAAAGGGTTCTTTAATCGATTCCAGAGAGAGGAAGAGAGGGCGGGAGAGAGAGACAGACAGAGAGATAAACATGGATGTAAGAAGCATACCTTGGTTGTTTCTATATCTTGGTTGTAAATTGGTTGCCTCCTGCGTGAACCCTGACTGGTGTTCAAACCTGAAACGTGGGTATGTGCCCCAACCAGGAATCGAACCCAACACCCTTTGTAATAAGGGACTACACTCCAGCTAACAGAGCCACATCAGGCAGGGCTGAAAGTTAACTGTTTTTGACAAGGTGGTGAGTGCTAGAAAAGGCGAGGGAAGGGTTGGAAGATAAGGCCTGGTTAGGAATTATTTTTTAAAATAAGAGTAACATAGATTAAGGCAACATTAGTGAGAATGGAGAGCAGCATATTCAAGCAAGAAAAAAATCTTCTGAGGTAGAAGTTATTAGAGTCAATGATCTATTAAATGTTAAGGTTGAAGAAGAAATAATGGATTTACTCCAAGGTTTTGAGATTTGTAACTTACTCAACAGTGGCATCATTAACCAGAAGCTATGTGTAGAAGGAAGAGCAGATTAGGAAGGGTGAGGCAATTCATTCAAGTTTTGCTTGTTAAATTTAAGTGATGAAGGGGCATTCTAAGACAAAGGTCTAGGAAAATGGGTATGTGGCCATGAAACTCAGGGGAGAAGTATGGAGGATAAATAGATGGGACCATCCAGTGAAATTACAGTGAATGAGATGAAATATAACTGAGACAGAGATCCAGAGAACTTTTCTACATGCGAGGGATTCTAATGTGCCTGTATGAGATACAGGGACTTGGTTGTGGCAGTTTAGACATATCGGGAGTTTACTATCTCCATAAAAAGTCTGAGAACCCAGACTGGTAACCCAGGACTGTAATGGCAGCCTCGCAAATTCATCAGGGATTCCGGCATTTTTTTTTTTGTCTTTTTGCTTTATTCTCCATGATTTTTCTGGCTTTCATTCCTATCAGTCAAAACACGACTTCTCTAGCTCTGCTACGGTTTTGATATTCCAGACAGATAAACAGAAACAAGCATTTCTTTCATCTTCTTAAGTTTCTTCCAAATGATTTTTTTTGGCATATTATTGTCTAGAACTTAATTACATAGCTATACTTAACTGCAAGGGATGCTGCAAAGTGTAAAATTTGTTTGTGTTTTAATCTGGGTACATTGCTTTCTCCGATTAAATCGGTTTTGTTTCTGTGAAGAGAGAATGGATAGCAATTTCTGTCGTATCCATCTATGATTACCAAAATCACAGCAGTTCTCACATATGTTGTAATTATCTGCTTTTATGCATATTTTCCACTAGATGATATGGTTCTTGGATATTTTTGAGTGATTGAAGATGCAGCAGCCAATGTCTATAAATAATGCAAAAATTTCATGTTGATCAGCCATAAAGTGCATATTGGAACTTCATATACTTTTCCAAAAACAGTATTAGTAACATAATCTAGGCAAAAATTAGACCATATTGGGCTGAGTGCTTATGATGCAGTAACAGAGAAAAGATGGTAAAATAAATCAAATTTTCCAACAGCTTATAGCTGAAAAGAAGAAGAAATAGTGAGAGAATGAGGAGAGAGGGGGGAAAGATATTTAAGGGGTAGATGGAATTACTGGAAGTTTCTTTTCCTTATTTTTCCTTTGTTTTGTTAACATTTTTATTTACATATTTTTTAACATGGCAGTAATTGAAAAACTATTAGGTAAAGATCAGAAGAAGCTAGAAAAGAATGAATCTATGAAAAATT